GAGAGAGCAAGAAAGAGCGAGAAAGAGCGAGAGAAAGATAGAGAGATGGGGAAGGATTAATCGCGGATTAATCGCGGATTAATCGCGGATTAATCGTGACTTAATCATAGCTTAATCCTAGACTTTTCGGAGCAAGCTTGTACCTTCAGCTTCTGGTCAATCTTCTCCTCGATCGGAGTGCTCATCTTCGTCGCGTTGATTCTCATTATTCTCGCGCGCGATCAGTGAGGTGTCGGCACCCTGACGTATTCTCGGGAATTCCTGTTGCTGGCCTCGACGACGAGGCTCGGGGCGGCCACCGTTGACGACATCGGCGGGCACCACACCGTCGTGACTTCTTTAGCGACAAATCATTCCTCGCGACGGCGACGACGACGGCCCTTCATCGCACTCTCTCTTTCTTCCTGTGCACCAGAAACAATCGTGCCAATACTAAAGCCAAGACAGAAAAATCTTCGAGTTTCAGGGGGATTGATACCGGCGAAAACTTTCAATCTCCCTTCTCGGATTCGAGGCGATCACTCTGAGAATTCGTCGCGTGAAGATTTGAGAAGGGTCTCACGCGAAGGGTTGAGAATTTCTGATATCGAGCACCCTGAACATCGATCCAGAAATTCAAAAATTGCTGCGAGGACGCGCGAGAACAGCCTATGGAGGGGACCTTCGAGCTGTACGGTTTCCTCCGTGCTCCAAACGGTCGTCCTCCGAGAACGAACGCGACAGGGAGAGCACGCACTCTCTCGTGCCAGCGCTCGATCGGGATCAGGGTCGTTCCGCGTTTCTCGCGTGTCCGACCGAACTCACCGAGGTCGGAGGCGTCAACGGGTCCAATCCCTCGGCTGAACTCGCCGTCTCGACGACGACGCGAGCGAAGTCAACATCGATCCCCAACGACGGGAGATCCGTCCGCCCGGTGATTCGCAGGCCTACCTACGCAGCGCGGTCGGTCGACCTGGACAACGCGGCGGGACGGGATGAGACGGGATGAGACGCCTCCTCCAGAAAGCGCAGCGAGCCGACCGGCGCACACACGTACCGTAGTAACATCCAGCACGTCCTGTGCGCTACGATGTGCCGTTGAGTGGTGCGGTTCGGTGCGGGGCGGTGCGGGACGGGCTGGAAGCCGCGGCGCGCATCGATTTACGCGGGGCACCGCGCATAAGCGGCGCTCGCTCAGGCGCGGATCACGCGAGGGGGATGGCCCTCCACCCGTCACCCGCTCCTCCCCACTCCCGCGCCAATCCCCTTCGGACCGCGCGCGCGGAGAGATTTTGGGACAATCAAATTTTACGAGATAAATCGAGTGATTATAAGTACGATTTCGATATCATATCTCTTTCTCTAATACGCTGCTCCAATTAGCGTCTCTCGTGCCCGAAGAATGTTTTTCGTCGACAAAATATAATGTCCTAGATTGTCACGTAGAAATTAGAATGAAGAGAGAACTTTTCTCTGTCCATTTCTCTGTCGATATAAATTAAATTTAATTTCATTTCATTCAAATTACGCTTTCTATGATTTTTTAATGTAAGAATTTGAAGGAGATAAAGAATAAGTTAAATCGAGAAAAATTAATAAATATTTTAATGAAAATGGATATTCACCCGACTTGATCATGGTTTATTTAACAATACCTATGTCACTATTTTATTATTGTTTAAAATTATGGACATTTTGCCGTTTTTACTTCTAGAGATAAAAAATTAGATCATCGATGAATAATATAGTTAGAATTTTTGTTTAATCAATTCTATTGATTGAATTAATTAGAGTTTGTTCAAAGTTGCCCTGAGATAGAAAAAAATTAGTTCTAATAGTTCTCTATCGAAATCAATATAATATTAATATTATTTTATTGAATTACTGAATTTGATCGTTTTACATATGAAAAGAAAAAAATTAGATTAGGATTAAAGAATGATACAGTTAGAATTATTGTTTAATCAATTTTACCGATTGAATTGATCAAAGTTTGCTCAGAATTGCTCTGAGAGAGAAAAAGATTAATTCTGATTGATTTCTAATGAGTTGGGTCGGGTCTTCGTTAAGTTGATCCTGATGAAATCATAGCGGGAATTTTATAGACATGTGAACATCAGAACTACGAGTATCTCCAAACTTAACATTATAAAAAAAAAATTCAAAGCACAAAACGAAAATTTGCAGAATCTGCCGCTGCTATTTTCAATATGCAAATCGAGTTTTCTGTTCAGATAAAAATAGTTATCGAAGTTAGGATAATAGCATTTCACACCTTATAATTCTAAAGATATTGTACAATAAAATAAAACATTATAATTGATACCAAAATTATATTCTCATTACAGTTTTTTTTGCATCAATTTGACATTTTCACATATTTTGTCGCAATATAACACGTGAACATCCAATAAAGAAATCTCACTCGATATACTACTTTACGTAGTATAAATGGATCAAGTAAATATACTTAACAACGTATCGTACGACATTTCATTGATAAAGTCTATTTAAATTTATTCATTTAATATTTTATTTTTGTTCTTACATTTCAAAAACTTTCACATATATTTCAAAATGAAAATATCGTTGTTATACATAGATACAAAATGAATGTCATGTAAAAAAATAGCATTATATTTAAATAATAAGCTATATATTTTTCTCTACTTCTCTTTTCTCATATTCTAGAGAGAGAAGAAACTTCAACATGTTTATACATTATGTAGTATCACATATGTAAATAGTTTACAATAATCAAATATTTATCAAATATTTTTTCCTATTATTCAATTACTCGAATATTTTGTGACACAATTCTAAATCATACATTACATAAATCGTGCCACTTAGTCCCAAAATATATTCTTAAATATTTTGACATTTAAAAAATTTCATATCAGTATAACTTGATTATACAATTTACGGAATAAATATGAAGTACGTGGAATAAATGTTGATTGAATAAATTGATTGAAATCATGATAGCTTTTATCTATGATAAAATGATATGATAAAAATCAAATTGTCTATTTAAATTTATTCATTTAATATTTTTTTCTCTTCGTTACGCGTACTTTACGCGTTTTTACATATAAAATATATCCAAATATATTAATAAAATTAAAATTAGACTTGTAAAAATATTAATTACACCTATCTATATCTACAAATTACACAACTATTTTGTAAACAAAAAAGTTGATATTTTTTTTCTAATTTATCTTTGATTATCCTTGTTCGATAAAAAAAGAGCAAGTCAGTCAGTTAATAAGCGTTCCAAATATTTGTTGGAGTGCTAGAGGTTTTCATGTACACATAATAGAGATCTTTTCTCTTCCGCATGCTTGCATATTTACAGCAGAAAGAATGTGCGATATTCACATCTCTTTAAAAAAAAATTCCCTATTATCTTTTAAAATGTACAATACGGCGTGAAATGTATCTCCTAAACAAATACAAATACATTCTTTCCCAGATTTTTTTTCTTATATCATCTAGAAAATAATATTTTTTAAGAAGTCATACGACGCATTAATTACACCCCAACTAATGAAAGACCTCATGTAGTTCAAATGCACACCCTTGTAGAAAGAAGTTATGCTTCGATCCCTGGAAACATATACCTCGCGAGTCACAGCCAGGAACTTCTCAAAGTCACCGCCTATCTTCGTCTGCATGTGTATCTTGATTACATTCATTGGGTAGAACATCGTGCTGGTGAAGCCGCCGATCAGGGCGCCGCTGACAAAGTTTGTCAGCAGCGACTCTTTCTCGCCCAGCAACACCTTCGATTGATCCCGCAATGTAAAAAACATCAGATTGGACAGACCGTTTCTGTATATGATGGGAACCATGCCGCGATAACACTCGGTTACTCCGTGATTCATCAACAGATACCTGAACGCGTGGGGCGTATTCTTAAACTTATCGTGATATCGCCAATCCTGCAGCAGCGTTTGCACTCTCTCAAGCGGCATGAGAAGAGCCTCCATTGTGCCAGCTATGTTCGCCGCTAGGATTTTTGCCAGTACGTTGCTTCCAGTTAAGAAATATAATCTCTGCTTGCATCCTTCGTACATGCTGAACATCAGGCTGAGAGATAAGGTCTTTTGGCACAGAGGCGGCAAAATTCCACGATAGAGCAATCTTATTCCTTCTCGTGACAACTGTCCAACTGCGGCACCCACAGGCACTCCTTCCAAAATCTGTAAATTCCGACACAAGGAACTCTTATATCAATGCTTGAATATTGTCTATTTCTACCAAAATAGAAATTGAATCTCTAACTAAATAGATTAATTTGAATCTCGTTTTAATTACATAATATCGTTTTAATTTACTCTTTATCTTTTTCTAAATCTTAGAATTCTTAAAAAAAAGGATAAAAAAATAAGTTAAACCAAGATTTGAAGTAATTTTTATTGATAAAAATAATCAGCAGTGATATTTGTTAATATTCTTTATATTACCTGTCTAAATATGATTTTGTTAATTGGAAAAGTAACAGTGACATTGATGACAGCAGCACCCCAACCGCAAATAAATTCCTTGACATCATTATTATTGAGCCTGAGGACCGAATGCAATGGAACTTTTCCTGATGTAACATTACTCATGTTGATACAATCTTTTGGAACAATAGAAAAACAAAAAAAAAATATTTAATTGTTCTAATTCTTCTAAATATATTTGAATTCTGTCCAATGATGCTTCTGGATGTCGCATATTGAATTAGGCATTCTTTATCTAAAAAGAAAAGTTAAATATTGTTAATACTTAGAATACTTGTTATTACTTTCAATTATTTATATCAAACAATAGACAATAGGCACTTATAACTTTATCATATCGAACGAAATTAAATTAATTAATATTTAAATTATATATTTTTTGAACTTATGTTAAATTTATTAACAATTAAAAAAAACCGTTCACAAAAAGTACGAGAATGTCACGGCATGACTCGCGATATAAATTATATAACCTTAATCGTCACATGTGTCTAATGAATTTCCATCTATTTTCGACTTACGTATTTATTTTTCGACATTCAACCCATAGTTTTCAAACACCTACGCTCAGAGCTTCAGGTATCGTCACAAGAGTGCCTAAAACTATTCACGGCACTCGTTATATCATAATTTTATCATCACTTGTATTTTCAGATGACTCCATATCACCTGATATCTCGGATTATCACAATCACAGCTGATCAATGTCTGTCCATAGATTTTCTTCCTTTAACTCGCGCACGCGTCAAAAGCTTTCAATATTTCTTAAAATTTTTCGTTGCTTTTCTCTTTGTTTTCTTTTATTAAATTACTTTTAAATTAATTCTTTTATTAAATTTAATAGTAGACAAATGGAATTATAAAAAAAGTTCATGCATCAATTATAAGATATTATATAACAAACATGTGATAAATAATGTAAGTAAAATAAGAGATTAATCCAAATTTGGATTTTTTAAATTGAAATACTTGAAATTATAATTTGCTTCGCTTTGCCTTAATAATTGTTCTAATGTTATGTTTCAGAAATTTCCTTAATTAAAAATTTTTATTCAAATATTAGATTCAATTTGATTCAAATATTAGAAATTCTTAAAAGAATACCTAGACGGCACAGAGAGTTTAAAAAGAATTCATTTGTATGTCACCAATTCTAAATTCTAAATAAGATTTTTAAAAAAATGTGGGTGAAAATTCGCGAATTTAAATTCGCGAAAGTTGAATCTTGAAGCTTAACAAAGTATCAGGAGAGCACAATCGAAAACTCTAAACTAGTGCAGCCAGTTCAGCTAAAAGAATAGACCCATAGTATACGTGACATGAACTATAGATAAATACGCACTTTTCAGAATCCAGCTATAGGTGAATTCTTTTTGAATGCTCTCTGTGCCATCTAGGTAATTCTCTTGGAAAACATATTCTTAAAATGCTACTTCTTTCGATTGTGCTCTCCTGCTACTTTCTTAAGTTTCAAAACTCAACTTTCGCGAATTTAAATTGCGAATTTTCACTCACGTATTTGAAAATCTTACTTATGTTATTGAAAAAAATATTTTCAAGCAACACATTTATATTCACACTCCTTATTATATAATAAATTATGTTATTATTGTTATGTTACAAATTAATTTTATTTTTTCTCTGATAAATATATAACACAATTATCACTTATATAGCAATATAATAATTTACCTTTTACGCAGAATTCATAATATTCAAAATTTAATACACATGCATAATTTTGATATCCAATAAGATGTAATCTTTAGCGTCTACAAGTATTATTAATTAAAATCCCTAGGAAACATTTTTTCTTATTGGTCCTGATTTATACTCGCAATGATCATATAACTTTTCTTCAGGACAGAAAATGAAAAATTTCGCTCAAAATTACATGATTGCTGCCCAGTGCAACGCTCGTGAACATTATTTATTTTTGTTTAACATTTGCAACAACAAAGATATAAAATGATTCCATAAGCATTGAGCGTGAATCGGAATGCAATCTTGAAATAATACAATATCGGAATGTCGTATGTCATTGCCGAAGGCGGTATGAATTCGTCATTAAGTTGATATTTATATTCGAGTGTAGCTTTGGAACTTGCATTCGGTTCCACGACGCAAACGAGTGAGATTCGCTGTGTGTAACCTTTATATTTCGAGGAGTGACGATATAACTGTCTTTCTATTTCCATTTCTAATAGCGTGAAATTTTTCCGTGGATTTTCAATGATGCTTCGCATTGCCAAGATCTTTTCTTCCACTAGCAAAAATCTCAATAAGACCATCGAGACACCTTTGGGTTCCTGCGTCACGTCCAGGTGGGTATCGAATATTGCCTTTTATTTGTTTTGAACAACCTGTTGCCAGTCGGAGCGAATTTTGAATTAACAAGAAATCATGCTCGTTCTCGTTAAATAAAAATGATATGAACGAGTTCGACTCGCATATCGCTCTGTAACGCGGTTTGTCGCATGCATTTCGTAAATATGTCTGTCATGCAAAGGAATAACCTAATTTCAAACAAATCGAATTGCAAAATTTGTTGTGCAAAATGCATGAAGCTATTTAGTATAATCTTAGTTCGTCGCGATCGATTTATGTTGAAAGATTGATATACATCGATTTACGACTCCGATTATTTTTAGTTACAAGCATGTGCGTCGAACATATGGACTTTGGACTATGCCCCGTGGATATGAGATATGTCAAATTTCTTGAACGTCATATAAGTGCGGATATACATATGTTCTGTATATTGTTTATCTACAGCAACGCACAGTTATTTAAATAGTGTGGGCAATCATTTCTTCCGAGTCTTAAGTTCATAGATTCTAAATATCTAAGAATGGAAGACGAGTGTATTTTAAAATGAAATATTCTTTTCTTTCTGCGAAAGATAAAATACAGAATTATGAAGAAAAATAAAAAAAAATGAAGAACTTTAAAATTATATAGAAAACAGAATAACTTTAGAATTATTGAGATTTGTGTGTATAATTCTTTTTTAATTCAAATTCATAGGTTCTAAACATTTTAAGAATAAAAGATGAGTATATTTTAAAATCGTATATTCTCTCCTTTATGACAAAAAAATAGAGAATTGTAGAGCAAAAAAATAATTCTAGCATTATAAAAAAAAATAGAGAATAATATATGTAAGAAATAAAGAAAATCAACATAATATAGTCAATGATATAAGAGCATTGTCAGCAAATCTCTGAAAGAAACGAAATATATTAAAAATTGAAGTTGTGTTTTGAAAATAAATTATACATATTAAAATGTATTTGCTTATCTATCTATACTTAATAATTCATATTTAATTATTACATTAATAGCTTGAATAGTATTGAAATAATATGCTTTCCTTGAGATTTTCTTGCTAAAATAGCTGTTTTGTAATGAATATTTTTTTTCCTCAAAACTTTATCTTCATGATTGATGAAATATATATATTTTCAATCAAATTTGCATCCTGATTGGAAAGACTAAGCTATTGCAATAATGGCATTTTCCACTGTGTAATTATTGCGAAATTATTATGCGCAATTATTACGAAACAAAAAATAATCTTAAATCAAAGGTATATCTTATTATCATTGTTTATATAACAATTACAGTTAATCCATTTTTCAGACATTTTCACTTTACATAATACTGACAATGCTTTTGTGTCATTGACTGTGTAATAAGTTAAAAAGAGTCAATGAGTTGTTTCATAAATCAATCAAATAATTAACAATTGTGGACATTAATTAATAATATTAAAATCATACAGATGTTTGGCTACCCAAGCGGCAGTAAAAGTCAGGGAGGAAAGACAACAAGAAAATGCCGCCACAAAAGAATCTCAATCTTTTACCATGAATCTCTTCCGCGGCCAGTTGCAACTAAATCAAGTGTGTCCATTTCCCGAACCTATGACTCAGGAGCAAACTGATACGATAAAGATGCTTGTTGATCCTGTAGAGAAATTCTATGAGGTAAACATCTACTTAAAGAATATGATGATCAAAGCATAAAATTAACTGCTATTGAATATATTTCCTTTTTCTTGTAGGAAGTAAATGATGCAAGCAAGAATGATCAGAATGAATGTGTGGATGAGAAAACAGCAGCAGCTCTCTGGGATATGGGAGCGTTCTCTCTGCAAGTGCCTACGGAATATGGCGGATTGGGGTTAACAAATACTCAATATGCTCGAATTGTCGAAATATGTGGTTTTTATGACTTAGGTATTGGTATTACACTAGGTGCACATCAGAGCATAGGATTCAAGGTAAAACTCTTTCCTAATAGATTTAGATTCTGAGAATCTATTCCCTATTTAGATTCTTAGAGAATATTAGAAAAATATCGCAGAAATAGATTACATATATTCCCTTCACATTCAGAGTATATATTATATTAAAAATAAAAATAAATGTGAATATTTTTACATATGAATATTTTCAAGAGTTTTTATGTATAACATAATGTATATCTTGAATATATAAGCAAGAAATATATGGAATTTATTTTCATGATGTCTTTCGAATATTCTTAAAATTCTTAGAACACTTTTACTTGATACTGGATTTTATTTCTTGACACGGTTTTATAAATCTTAATTACTTTATCTGTGCTTGATAATAAACCTCCGTTTTCAGGGCATACTTTTGTTTGGCACACCGGAACAGAAGGCCAAATACTTACCCCGAGTTAGCAACGGTGAATACGCCGCATTCTGTTTGACGGAACCGAGTTCCGGCTCCGATGCTGCTTCGATACGCTCGCGCGCAGTTAAATCCGCGGATGGATCGCATTACATTCTCAACGGCAGTAAGCTTTGGATATCGAATGGTGGCATCGCTAATATCATGACCGTGTTTGCGCAAACACCTATGAAGGATCCAAAAACGGGCGAAACGAAAGACAAGATAACTGCTTTCATCGTGGAGAGAGGATTTGGTGGTATCTCTAATGGACCGCCTGAGAAAAAATTGGGCATCAAGTGTAGCAACACGGCTGCGATCTTTTTGAAGATGTTAAGATCCCAGCGGAGAACGTTCTCGGCAAGGAAGGTGAAGGTTTTAAGGTAAAACTTTATAATAACTT